AGGACTTGGATCCCACAAAAAACCAAGTTATCAACACATGAATACTTTACATGAAACTCATAAGAAAGACTATAGAATCGATGTTTGGAAAGTATTTTATAAGTAAATTAAGTAGATTCAAAATTAGAACTATAATGATTTCACTTTTACCTACTTGCATTATGTGATTTCTTAAACATGGGAAAGGTAACTAAGAATTACAGCATCTAATTTAAAATATTCACAAAATCCTTAGAACTGAGCCACACTTGTGCATATCATCTGTTGAGTTTATGCTTAGGAAGAAAAAATAGATTCACTGATTCTAATGCATAATACATAAAAAGAGTGTGAGTGTGTGTGTGTGTGTGTGTGTGTGTGTGTGTGTGTAAATAAAACAGAGGAAACTGTTTCAGCACTGACACTGACACTGATTCAATAAATGCTTACTGACCACCTCTGACAAAATCCAAAGATCCAAAGATGGTTTCTCCTACTCTTGAAGACTGTAGTCTACTGACTGACCAGGGACATTCTTGGCTCAATTTTACTTAACGTATTATGTCTCATCATCCTTATAGAGGACACCTGTAAAAGCTTAAATTGAGCAATTTTATAGGTATCTTATAAAATTTCATAGGTTCTTAATAGGGATCTATATATAGGACAATGAGACATAAATTAATTCTATTTGAATAGGCACAGTTCCTCAAACTCCATTTCTACCCTTAGTAGATGTTAGCTCTGCCCAAGCCTCCAACTGTGCATTGGAAGTGAGGTTCAGGCCAGTCCTACCAGATACCTGTAGGAGAGGATTGATAAAATTCTAATGTTCTATAGCACAGTAGGGTAACTAAGTTGAACACAATTGATAATTGTATATTTCAAAGTAGCTAGTACAGAATTTTTAATGTTACCAACACAAAGAAATAATACATTTTCTGAGGTGATGAATATGCCAACTTAATTGATGCTTGTCAATGCATATTGCACATATGAACTGAAATATCAATTTATGCCATAAATACTTCTAGCTACAATGTGCTAATCAAAAACTTACTAAAAACTTTTTAAAAAAACTTATTAAAAATCTTGTCCTCTAAGTTGGCAGAGTTTTTATTCTTTTGTTCTGATGTTTTCATTCTAAGTAGGCTACCTTACCTATCTCAGTATATAAAATTATGATCATTTATAATGTTTTAGGGTCTACTACAAAAACTTTGAAACTTAAAAAAAAAAAAGTTACCAACTACTTTTTTTCAGACTTTACATTGTTTTAAAACAAAACAGTTTTCAAGGAAAATGAGGAAGCCAATATTATTCTGAATCAGGGGGATTAACATAAAACAGGATAAAGAAACAATATGCAGTGAGTGCTCCATTTCATGTGCTATGGGACTAAAGTTCATTTTGACAAAGCCATCAGTTCAAGGAGATTGAGAGAAGCTCAGGCAGCCCCTCCCCCGCCTAGTCAACTAAATCTGACAGAAGGCTACCATCAGATGGGAGTCTTTAGCTGATGGTCCTGAACCCAAGGTCAGTAAGAGTAGTTATATCATAAGGGTTCACATGGTCAGTCAACTTAGTGACTTAGGTGCAACATAGTCCTAAATCAAGCTTGAACAGATCCTACCTACAGAGGAAAAAAACAGAGAAAGCAAGTATTAATTAATACAATCCAAGTCCTCAATTGTTCCTGTGGGATCCAATATAATTTTATCTTAAACACATGTAAGCACATGTACTTCACCTTTAAGTGTTACTGTATTGAGTTTAGATTAAAAATAATGCTTTAAACTACTTTCATCTTAAGTTGCAAGTGCCACAGTAAATAAGCAACTGCTACACAAGTAGAACTATGATTCTAAACAAAGAGTTAAAAAACAAACAAAAACTTACCCCTTCGGCAAGCTCCAAAAGCGGAACAGGCTTACATTTGCAACTTGAAACAACTATTTTGTCACCACTGGAAGATGCTGTTACAAGAAAGTTATCTAAATGAAGAGTTATGGAGCATCAAACAATCCATGATCATCCATCGCACTAGATTATTATTTAAGAATGCAATCACACAAGCAAACACTAAGATAAGCACATAAATACAGCTTACACAGTAGCTTTCAAAATCAGCTCAAGTTACTAATTACAAATTCTCTTTACTACTCCTGCAAGGAAGAACTACCCCTTCTGGCTCTGCTATCACTTGAAAGCTATTTAACCCATGTGAAATTCTACTCCATTTTCGGGGTAGGCCAGAAGGACTAATTTTATCCTTCAAAAATGAGAGCATGACAAAGGCAGCATCAGCAAATAGCAGTCAGCCTTTCTATCTATAAAAACTGCTCAAGATGCTTATTTATTAAACCAGTGTCTGGTAAGAATTTAAGCCAGAAAATAAGTACCCTCGTGACTCTCCTAATTTTACAAAAAAAAAAATGAATACTAATATTTTCTCAGAACTGGAATTCTTTTGATAGAATATTTCAGTCTGAAATATATTCAGAATGAATATTACACTAACTGGCAAATATAAGTGAGTGTGGTTCAATAGCAACTATTAATGTAATGGAAGAATTTTAACTATTTTAAATTAAATATAATCTAAATTATTTTAATTTAAAATTATATTTATTTTACATAAATGGGTAGTAATAAGTAAACACAAAAAAGTAAAATTTTTGAATATACTAATACAATCAAGAATAAAATTCAGATTTTTAGAGTCGTAACACATTTTCATATCAGCAGTTTAAATCAATGCTCTTTAACAAATAAAGTCTATGCAGAGAATCAAGGGAGAATGGCTAACTAGCCATTCAATCCTAACTGCACTATTTTTGGATAATCTGCATAACATTCAGATTTTTTCTAGACCA